CCCCATTTGGAGACCAAAATGATGGAACTTGTCAGCATGTAGTGCTCATAGAGACTATCATTTTGACTAATGACATGTCAAAAATGGATGCCTGGATCAAAAATTATGGACATTTGAAGATTCAGCACCTGTTTTGGCCTCTTTTCTTCTTTTCTTTGTGATCCTAGGCCTCTAAAAACTTTTCAGCAACTTGTTCTACATCAAGGTGGAGGAGAGGAGATGAAGAAGTTTGAATGGTTTGTCAGGTGGGGCTAACTTTTGAGAATTGGGAAATTATGCCGGCTCATCCACTAACATGTCCTCCCAGACTAAATCTCACACCTCTCCAAGCCCAACCAGCTCAACCAAGCCCAACCTTTGCTTTGGCAAGGTTGTTATGTCAAAGTTGTCATCAATGAACCATAGCAACTCTTAGGCTATGGGGTTGGAAGGATGCCATTCAATCTGCTCTCCTTACTCATCCTAGTCAAAAATAGTTTTGCACCATTAGCAAAGACCTTCTTCCTCTTAATTGCTATAGTAAAGATTAATTGTGATTCAAGTGTCAAATAATCGAGATTAATGTCTAAGTTTAAGAGCAAAATTAGCCCTCACATCATAGGAAAGCAATATGTATTTCTCATTCTTTGCCTGCATTGCATTTTTTAAATTGTTTATCAGTTGCATTTTTTTTTTGAATTTTCATCAGTTGCAAAATTTTGATCTTATAAATAATTTAAACCAACATTCTTTTGCAGCTCAAGTATCAAACTTCCAGGTTGGCCAAAGTCAGAACTTACAAAGTGACAAAACAATATTCTTTTAAAGATTTTCACTTCATTTTACTTGATCTTGTATTTTTAGCATTGACCAATTTTTTATGATAAACATACTCCATTCCCTAACAATTTATATGTTATGATTTGCAGGTTCAACCATTATGTTAAGTGGATTTGCATTGGAAGACGTGCTACATTATCTGAGAAAGTGATTTTTTTAAAATTCCTTGTACTTTTATATGTCAATTGGATATTGTATTTAGACAATTTGTTTTCGATATTGTAATAATTAATAATTCAATTAATAGATTTTATTTTTAATTGCATTTTTACTTAAATGGTCATGAGATTTTTATTAAACAGGTATTAAATTGAGATTTGTTATGAAATTAAGCTAGTATAAAAAAAAAGAAATATCAAAGTCAGTGGTCATGCAACTGCCCACTTAGCCATAAACAAGTTACAAGCCAGTGGTCAAATGGACTTAAGTCGGCAGTTCGGACCGCCGCCCAAGAAGGCAGGTAGAATTTAGACTAGCCTAAGGCAGTGGTCAAATGAGAGCTAAGTCGGCGGTTTGGACTGTCACATAAGAAAGCAGGTAGAGTTTTGACTGACCTAAGCCAGCAGTTCAGATCGCCTGAACCACCTAAAAATGGAAATAACGAATTGATAAATCTAAGGCAGCGGTCGGAACTGCCACCTCTATTAGTGCTAAGCCAGCGGTTTTGCATACCACTACTTTAGATTGGTAGTGGTCTTGACCTAGGCCAGTAGTGGTTTAGGGGGCGGGTTAAAGACCCACTGCCTTAGATCTAAGGCGTTGGTCTTCACACCTAAGACGGCAGTCATGCAACCATCGCCTTAGACCATTTTTCTTGTAGTGTTGGCTCGTTGCTTTGGGTCCCATTCTTTTAATTCTTACTCATTTAGAGAAAGAATGGGCAATTAGAGCCTTGGGTTACAAAATTCTTGCCATAGGCCTAGTTCTTTTTAGAATGAAAAATCAGCCATATCACAAAAATTGAGGTTGCCTACAGGATGAAAAATAATCACACATTTTCATTCTTTGAAGAAACTATATGCCTACAAAGTTGCTGCCATAGATGTTTACTAGCGGACTTCCATGGATCAGCGGACATTAACCATCGGCCATTCATCGGTACATATCTATGCCAACAGTTTGGAGATCTAGGTTGGCGGTTTTATAATTGCCAACATAGAGTTTTCCGAAGCATGAAAATGAGCAGCATAGGGCACTTGTCAATCTGAAAAAATTCATTTTTTGGAAAAAGTGTTTGGTTCGTAATAATATTTTCTTATTATACCCATTCTTATCCATTTTAGAATTTCATTATGAGGAATGAGAATCGAGCCAAACAGGGCCTAAACCTCTCCGCATCCTCATTTTTGGCAAAGCTGAAGTTGATCTGTCCCCATTAAATAAAAATAGGATAGAGCAGTTCAAGATTTGTTATCCTCTGTTTTATTGATCCAACCAAAACTGTTAGGCTTATGCAAGACAAAAGGACAAAATATATGACTTGTCCATGTATTATTTGTACATCTACTTTTTTGTGGAAAACCTTTTCCCACCATCCAATTAAATGCAATAAATTTGAGAGGGTCATAAACTTCTCTATTTCCTTTAATTTGATGTTTATCTTTTCATAGTTTTTTTTTTATTTTTAATTTTTTATTGCTTTTAAAATTGAACAAATTAACCCAAATAGCTAATCACTCTCAAGACTTATTTCATTGTCTCTCTCTGATGTGGGGATTAAGCCTTTGTCAAAATGAGACATAGGCCTCAAGCTTCAAGGTGTAAGGTGTAAATGCAAAAATGTGTGTGTGTGTATTTTATGGCTCAAAATATATGAAAAATCAATTGTTCTATTAGTTCTTTTACTGTTGCAAGAGAGTTCAATGCAAAAAAGGGCCAATCAATTTATTAGTTTCTCTTGGATAAATCAAGTGGGATTTTTTTTTTATTATTTTAAATCTAATGTCTCAAGTTTGTTAATTTTCATTTATTTTGCTAATGGATTTATTTTCTTTGTATTGGCTTTTTTAGCATATCTCAAATCAATTAAGTTGTTTCCATTCTTCTAAACTATTGGATGGCCGTAAATTTAATGATATCATTTATACGGATGATTCTTCATATGTTTCCTTTCTTCTAAATTGGTCATTTAAATAATTTTAGAACTTTGCATTTTGAAACATGAAATGTAAAATATTTATAATTGCTAGTTGATTAATTATTGTTTTATTTAATGCTTAAAAGCTAAAACGTATTGCTTATAAACTTGTATTTCATATATATTTGTACCTTTTATCAATATAACTTGATATACTATATGTTATTTTTATCATTTATAAACTTTATTTTTATTTTTTTTAGGCTTAAATAGTTATGTGATGGGAATAGTGGTCAAAATATGTATATTTAGAATAAGCAACTCAGGTTGAAATCCTTTTAGCAACGTATTACTTTTACATAGGACTAGTTTTAAATAGACTTAAATGGAACTAATTGAGTTAATTATGAGATAGGAATAATTAATATAACTAATTAATGTTATAAGTGGTACCTTAAATAAGGTTAGTTATGGAGTCAATTATGGTAAAGGGTAAAATATAAAAACCTCCACTGAAGCTTCTAACAATCATAATAACCTTCCCTTAATTTTTACTTTAACAAAAACCTCCCTTGTAGTTTCACAAAAACCTACAATAGCCCCTCTTCCATCTTTATCCCAGTAATGGAAACTTCAAATTACAAAATTACCCTTACAACTTATAAGGCATATTTCAATATAATTCAAAATGTCAGATTTGCTATTCCAAACTTCACTAGATATTACATTTTTATAGAGTAAAATTACTTTACTCTTTCCAATCTTACTTGGTGAATTTTTTAATTAAAACTGAAATTCTTTTGGAAGTAATACATTTGGCCAAGGTTTTCTGTCCAAGACAATAATAAAAGGGAGATAACTACAGGTTTTTTCAATACTATAGAGAGGCTTTTGTAGGAGTGGCCACAAGCAGAGCCCTTCACGAGCTATTTGAGCTCAACTCGTGAAAAGCTCGGCTCAACTCGGTTTAAACTGAGCTTTGAGCTCAATATATAGGCTCGTTTGCTAATCGAGCAGAGCTCGAGCCAAGTGAAACTCGGCTCGTGAGGCTCGTGATCTTAGTATTAAATAATACATACATACATGCATACATACATACATACATACATATAATAAATAATTTCATTATATAAAATAATATTTTTTATTTTTATGTATAACAGTAAATAATTTTTTATAATTATTATTTTTATATAATATTAAATAATTTTTATATTTCTTATATTTTGTCTAAAAAATAATTTTATACATATAATTTTTATTTTTCAAAAGAAAACTTGGTTTATGGTCGAGCTCGAGCTCAAGTCTCTAGCTTAAATCGAGCTCGAACTTGATACTATTCCTACGAGGCGAGCTTGAATTGCCAATTATTTGGCTCGGCTCGACTCAAATTCACCCATACTCAGGAGAAGTCTTTATGATTGTTAGAAACTTCACGGGAGGTTTTTATATTTTACCCTATGGTAAATGGAGTGTTAAAAAGAGTTAATTAGGGTGAATTTAATAGGCATTAATTAAGATAATTGAATTTGAATTTCAAATTAAAAAAATGATATCAATAATAGATATGCCAAATGTTAATCGGGTCAGATGGGTCATGATGGGTTCGCAAAAATTGGAATGAAAAATTAAATGGGTTTACGTTTAAGATCAAGGGTGCTAGGTGGGTTCTGAATGAGAAGGGCAATTTTCATGAGTTTCATAGATACCCTACATGTTGCCATTTGATTAATACAAAGTGATATTTGTATCTTTTTTTTAATAAACCCTATTTATTTCCATTTCAACCATCGGCCTTTTTCCCCCCTTATTCGTTAGACTCCCACATAATGGTTTTTTTTTTTTTTTTTTTAATTAAAAAGTGCTAGTAATGTGATATGACGATACATATTTCTTACCAATTTGTATTTGGTCAAATCAAAATATTTGAGGTAAAAACAACAATGGTACCAAATACAACCTTCCCATGATGACCACAAGATCAACATGGACACCATACATCTCTGAGCACCCTTGTTAATCAATCCATTCCCCGGAAAAAGAAACAATATTAGGATAAATTATATTTGTAAACCATCTTCAATATGTTTTGAACAGAGCAATTCTTGAATTGTACTAGCCCAGATGCCTCTAATGGAAAAGAAATTGATGGTTAGTGCACATGGTTATATATTGTGCAAAACGAAGCTCTTAATAGTTCTCCAAAGTTAAGTACATCAATCCCCATTCCCCACGGCTAGAAGTGCAGTAAAATACCTACAAAATATACTACAGAAAATAACTTGGTGGCAATAAAGGTACAAATCCCTGGGTAGTTGGAGTTCTATTAACATAGCCAACTACACAAAAAACACTGACAGGCAAGTACAAACCAACGAACTAATTAAATATCAATGACCGATCCACTAGTGCTGAAATATTCGGCCACAAAACAATTTATAGCAGTGTCTTTCCACATCTTGGTGCAAATCGGCTAATCTGGGATTGTCTCAAGCAGAGAAAGGTTGGCTGGACATCAACAGTTCAACACATGCGAATATGGGATTCTTAGATGGTTCATCAACACATTAATCTTTCACTGGCCTGGCTTCAAAGCCCCCCTCAGGGCGTTTCACAAGATGATAAGGCATGTGGGTTCCAAGAATTTTATCCCAAATTGGGAAGAATGGCTGCGAATAATTGTATTTTGCACCCTGGAGTTGATGGTGAACATCGTGGTAGGCAGTATTGTTCTGGAAGAATAGATGGAAGATGTTGCCAGGCAGCCAGAGTCCACAGTGATCATCAACAGTCTTGGTGACAGCAAAGCAGAAGAAGATCACAGCTGTCCGTGCAGTCATTCCAGATACCAGAAATGAGAGAGCACCTCCAAAGGTGTCAAGTAGGAGTCCCTCAAGTGGGTGGTTGTAAAGGGCCCCAATTGCATATGGGACAACTAACCTGTGATGTTGTGAGTGAATATGACGGTACAAGAACTTATTCTGGTGCATGTAGCGGTGCACAAAGTACTGCCACGTATCCATGACCAGCATTGCAACAACGATCTGCATCAGCTGAACCAGAATGGAGGGCTGAACCGTGATCCCGGATGAACTTGTCCGCGAGGTCAACTGCACCAAAACCCAGTAGTCGCTATCAATTGGTGAAGTCATTTACTGAAAAAGGCAAAGGAAATCAAGATGCTCAAGAAAAAAGTTTTAACATGGAGAACCTTTTTGTGAGTGAACTTTATATTTTTTAGTCCAGGAGGTTGGGGTTCAGAGGTGATATTTTTCTGACCACAACAACCAGAAAATTTCATGGGTGAATTTAACCAATCTTTTAATGGATTTGCTTCTGACACATGCGCTACATTTTTCAGGTTAAATCTTATTTTCCTTTCTTCTTGATCAGTAGCAAAGATAAATAATTTGATTAGTCATGAAATTTATACTACAGCTGGAGAGATGAGCTCTTTGCAGTACTTCAAGGAGTTCATCTTGCAAGAGAGATGAACTTGGACAAATTAATTATTGAAGACAATTAAGAGTTCAATGGGTTCAAAGATTGGCTAATGGAGTAGCTATAAATTAGCAAAACAGGGTCATTTGTGTTGGGCTCAATTGCAATCTGGTTTCTTTTTATGTATGTACCTTTTCTATTTTATTAGAGAGCATTGCTATCTTTCTTCAAATTATATGATTGCTAATTGGTATGTTTAAATTAGAGAACCTAAAACTAAGGTTCTCCTTTGTGAAGTTTTATCACTTGGGAAAATGGAATTATCAATTAGAGTCACCAAGACACCATGACAGCTATGAACAAAGAATCTTTTGTCCTATGCTCTTGATGTACATCTACATATCAATCTATCATAACTTGATAGTTGGACTTGAACTGCTACTTAAGGAAGAGAGAACCAGAAAGAAAGTGACAATGAAGAAATAAGTGAATGAAATTTGAAAACAAACAAACAAAAATATCATGTTGATGACCCTGCATGAACAAGATTAGATTTCATTCACAAAGCAGGCAAGAGAAGGTTAGCACCTCAGCACATTTCATGATCATTGTTCATCTTATTTGTTGAATCAGCATCAAGCAGTTCATTTCTATATGGAATTGGACAGAGGAAAATAGAAAAAAATAAAGAAAAGAAAAACTAAAACATGGAGGGTAAATATTTTCATGGTGGCAGAGTGTACAGCCTTTTTAGGAAGGTGATAAAGAGGTGCAAGTGTGGAACAAGTGTGCCTGTAGGTCCATGCAAAATTATTTTTTGATCAGCTAGCAAAATTAAACTATTCCATAGACAATCTGCTCTATTTTTGTAAATCTGAAAGAAATGATGAGATTCTCAGAGATAAATTTGCTTACAAGTTATATGATTTCATAGATCAATCAAGTAATCAACAAGGAGAAACTACGAGGTGTTTTATCTGTCATTAAATAGAAGCTTTCTTTAATTTCAGATGATTATGATCAGAAGTAGAATACCCTATATTAAATATAACAACTCGAAGGACAGAAGGTGACAAAACAAATAAATAAATAAATAAATAATATAATGATGAGAAGTCTGCTTGCTCTCTCACCAACCTTGATGATCCCCCAATATGATTCGCGTCTTACCCATTCCCTATCAAGTCTGTCAATCACTGCCATTGAGTTTGCTGGCCTCAGTTTCCATGAAAAGGTGTTGACCCAGAACACAAGGTCCTTCCCTTTCTAATGTTAAATTTGCTGTTAGATATTAGGATGTGGCAACCATAAGAAGAGTATGGAGCTAGAACCCCTACAGACTCAACAAACCTATGATTCTATTATACAAACAATATGATAATACTCAATCTCAAATTCTCAATGTCAACGTCCATAAGAACAAAGTGCCCACAAGTATAGATGGAAACATCTAAAATATATTTCCCAATAGCAAAATGTTTATTATTATAAGGATCCATCAGAGCAGAGCAAAACTTTATTTTAGTAAATTAAGGTTTGATATACTTGTATATACTCCCAGGAACAATCATCTTACTCTATCATTTATTTGGATCAGTTAAATAATATATCACTCAAGTCCACCCAAAAGGCATCCGATAGATATTATAATCTGCAAGGATAAGGCGCTCCTAGATCATTCCATTATTTCTAATTGGGTTCAGTAATCAATTGTTTCAATATATTTGCTGAGATGTACGTATGCAAGCAACAAGATACTATTTGCAGTTTAGAATGCATTTTTTTGTAATAAACTCAAGTGTCACTCAAAGAGAATTAAATGCAGACCTCAAATCAAGGATTGCTAGACACCTCTGCAAACAAGAAACCTTCAACTCTAGGTTTTCTTTTCCTTTTTGTTCTTTTTGAACTATACAATTGACAGACCAGCAACACAAGCTGACATTTTCAAAATACAAACTATTTAATACTTGGAACACAAAAAATCCTATGCCAAGAAAACAAAAGAAAGTTTGAAGGTCTGAAGCGTGTAGATGGAATAATGAAGCATCTGGTTGTGGGAGGGGAAATATTTGGTTAGCTTCAGTTGCAGTCATATTAAAAGGGTGAGACTTCACACTATTTGATGAAGGAAAAAAAAGGGCATCCGGAACCTACTAAACTTTGTTTACTTTTTTTTCCATAAAGGTATTTGTATCAGTCTGGGTTTGACCATCTTGGTAAGTTGGTAAAGTAGCAGGTGCTTATATTCAGCCGGGTTTCACAACTCATCTCTACCAAGTTAGACTGTTAACCTATAACCTACAAATAATCCAGCTTGCATCTTAAATCATCTGCACCAACATATTAACCATGTTCCCATGGGATTGGCTTTAAACAGCAAGTGAGTCCATGATACTAAAACATTGTTGATGGGGTTGAACCCTTAGACAAATTGAGCAAACCTTTTCATGTCATGCCACAAGTTGCTGATAACTGCCAAAATAAAATGACTTCTACTAATCTTGCAACCATAGAAAACATCAATAAAGTATTGAATCACAATCATGGTATCTAGGGACCAAGCAGGAAGAAAGATACCACATTCTAGTTAATTATAACTATATAAAACCTTTAGCATAAAAAAATATTTCTACCCACTGTGATGCAAAATAACAATTCTTTCCAGGTCCTCCAGGAAGCATTTTAGTTATGTGGCTGGATATGGGCATTTGTATAACCACTTTATTCAAACAACCAAGACAAAGAAAATTGCAGCATGCCATTTGATTTCGAGGGCAAGGACTTACAATTTTACTCAAAGGCCATTTGATACAACTAAATGGCTGAACAGAAAAGCTTAGTGTTTAGTCTTTCAGTGAAAAGTTTAAGGAGGTTGTGGGTTCCTTCATGGCTGAAATTGAAGTTGGGTAGATTTCTATACCCTGAATATTTTATTATTTAATTATTTTATCCACTAGATGACAGAGCAATAAGTTGTTCAGTTCAGCAACTTCAGCCGTTATCAAACAGCCCCTCTGAAGCTACCTATGCCAATTCCTAGGGGAAGATGATCAGATAATCCTACAGAAAAGAATTTTTCTTCACCAAGTTTAATGAAGGAACCAGTTAAATGTTCATTTTCCCACTATGAACATTGCAACCATTCAATAACATATTATGGAACTAACTAAAGTTGAGGGCTAAGGTTGACCAAAAAGAACTGGAGGGCAAGGATTTCACTACAAAACAAGAACAACAGTACCTAAACATGAAGGCTAATGTGTATAAGATCCATGAAGGAACAGAGGCAACACACTAGAGATTAAGAATCAGAGTTGGCAATAAAATATCCAAATTGATTTATATAGTAGCAGAGTGACATCATTAACTTGTAAGGCGACAGGATCATATACAATCAGGAAAAGAAATCATACTTCAAACAAGAACATTTTAAATTATCTAAGAGGATAGTGGATAAATTCTTAACAGTGTAAACTTTGGAGGCCTCAAATTGAACTTGACTGGCCCAGCAGTGCACTTACGTAACCATATGTTACTATATTTGGCAGCATGTGAATAAAAAAAGAAAAAAAAAAGTGTTCAATTTAGTTCTTATAGACCTATGAGCAAAAAAGAATAGTAACAAATGTGCAATGCCACCATGCACAACTCAACCTAATCCTAGAGAACAGGGTCAAACAAACTAGATTCATGTAAGCTTGGACTGGAACCCATATCAGGTTGACAAGTTCACTTTCCAGTTAGTAGGGTTTGGATTTTAATTCTTCCGTTTAAATGCAACACAGCAGCAGCGCATGGTTGCTGGTTGCAGGGCCATGAATTTCACTGCAAGGTTTCAATCTAATGGACTTATGCCACATGAAAAAGTAACTTTCAAGTTCTTTTAAATTGATTTCTTTTTCATTCTTTCTTATTGAGAGAGAGGAAAGTCAACTGTTGCCATTCAGACATGAAAAGTCCAATACAAGGTAAGAGGGCATGCCTGAAGTGGACAAGGGGTTTGCTCATATGGCCAGTTAGCTGGCTCCATAGATTCACAGCCCTACAAATACCTCTTCTTTATGGAAGCTTTTACCTCTTCATAAACTTATCCAGCTAAACTTCGACTGGACCAATAAGTCATTTATAGACCAGCAACATACAGGGATGGACTCAGTAACTATGGCCAAGAAATCAACTCCAATGTTAGTACCTGCCAAGGCATAGTAGCCATGGCCGAGAGACTTACTCCTTAGTACTGCCTGCCTAGAGGGGTTCGGGATTTCTTTAAGAGTCGCCAAATACTTCCATGGAAGCCATAGACCTGCTAGAGGTTAGGCACGCTAATGAAAGTTAAGACCAGGCATACTCTAGATAGGCAATTCATTGACTTATTATGCAGTTAGAATGATAATCAAACTTCCATTTCCGCATCTAAAGAGTGGCCCATATATTTATCTTTTTTTACAACATTCTTAAGCAACAGAAAAGATACTCACACTTATATCGAGAAACACGATAATGATTCAAAATCAATGAATAAGGAAGGGAGGAAGGAAGAAAGAAAGAAGATACTCCACACAGCACCACTGACTAAATTCAGGTACTGACCATGAAAAGTGCCTGGGCGACTGTGGCCTGGACGAGCTGTTGCAACAGAACACCCCTGATCACCACAGAAAGGGAGACCGAGTTTTTCTCTTCTTCCTCTTTTCTGGTATGCAAGCGGTACTGATCCAACGGCGGCAAGAGCTGATAAATTCCAGCATACAACCAATAAAGTACGATCGGCGCGAAAGTGCCCATCGCTTCGTCACTCAAATACCCTTCCCAAAAAACCATCTTTTTGCTCAATTAGCAGAAAAACAGGAATTTCAAGAAATGGTGGCGGAATTTCACAGTGAATCAGAAACGTTGAAACCGCATTTCACTCAAGATCGCAGAGAAAATAACGGGGACAAAATTTGTAACTCGTGAACCTAAACAGGAAAGGATATTGCAATCAATAGTAACAAGTCCATATCAGGTTTCTTCCCAATTTGCACTTGAGCTCAGGTTCCATATCGAAATTGCACAACAATTATAGACCTTCCGGCTCGATGAGGAGCTTTTCAACCCTGAAAACAACTTCAGCATACAGAAGAGGTTTTTCAAATAGATCTAGCGCACATTGGGAGTAAACTCGAGGATTCAGAACGAAACAACGATGGTTGTTCTGAGAAGAGTAGAAAGATTCGAACTTGTCTGCAGATCCATGGGAAATTCAAAGTTGCGAAATCTCTAGGGTTTTTTCCATCACATAACATAAGATGGGACGGTTTTTTTCAGTTGCTTTGGAGTTTGGAGGAGCCGGAGAAGAACTTTGAAAAAAAGAAATTGAAAAAAATGTAAAAATATCTGAGATAATTATCAGGAAAATAGCTGGAATTGGAAAACCAACAGCTATCTTTAATCTTTACTTGTTGGACTTCGGATTTCCTTCTTCTGTTAGTGTGTTAGCAAACGATTGAATCAGAAGATTCCAATCGGACGTCGAAAAAGGTTCCTCGTTAAATTGAAAAGTTGATTCTTATGATGTTATCAAGGGCGAAAGGGAGAGTAGAGTTCATATCGTCTATCTATCTGCAGTAATGCACTTAGAGGACACACCAATCGAACTGACATGTCTTATAGTGATTGGGTGGCTGACGTGACAAACTCACAGTATTTTGTGATCCTTGGATTCGCCACGTGTATTGCGTCCCTGACGACGTATTAGTGAGCAGCAGTACAGTATAGCAAATACTGACTGACGTGTTCACTCGTGATTGGATATGTAGGCCATGCAGACTTTTGAGCAGTAGATCCTTTCTCGTTTTAACACGTGGTAGAGGTTTGTTAAATATCTCCTCATGAAATAAAGCATAGTTTCCGAATTCCGATGCAAGGCTGTTCGAACGGACCTTGCGGTGACTGAACCCGATCTCGGATCTGCTTCTAGTTTCGACTTGCACCGTTAAACTGAATAAAGATCTTTCTGTTTCACCAGAACCAGAATCTACGCTTGTTTCCGAAATACAACGTTCGTTTCCAAATCCAAAATACAACGTGGTAGAGGTTTGCTACACGTACACACGTACACACGCATGGATGCATGCAAATGCAATGCAAGTATCGTTTAAATGTGGAAACTTTAGGCTTCGAAAGGAGTTGAAAATTTACACCATCCATTAATGGCACAACTGCACAAGCCTATAACCCACAGTTTTTAAAGATGAGTGACTTAATGGTAAATTTTTCCACATTGTCAACACCCTGATTTTCTTTCGATTTATCGCCTGAACTCCAATTTACCTGGTTGCTAGCGATTTTTCCAAAGGATTTTACGTTTAAAAAACGAATAAGGCCATGCATTAAAAAATTAAAAAATACAAAGAAAGAGGGAATTTGGATGCAAAGAGAAACCAAAGAAACTCGAAAACGAGCCACCACTAGTCATTTTTGGTCATTTGAGAAGTCAGTCGCCTCCTCTCTTTGAATCCACTACTACAATGCTCAACCTATGCGAATGGAGAAGACAAAGGATTTTCTCCATTTGCAGGGGTAGTATAGGCATTTTGAATTTTTTAGGGACTGATTCATCCCAAAAATTATGAACAAGTATCCCAAATGATATTTATTTCTTAAATAAGTACTTATTTTTCATTTATTGTGTGGTTTTACCACTTATTTTAAGTACGTTGAATATATACTTATTTTACGTGCCTTCAAAGGTTTTTGAATCCTGGAACAGAACAACTGTTTTCTTGTACTACATCAGATTTGATCTAGAATATGTGAGATTTTGCTTAAGAACAATGTTTCAGACACACGTCAGTCAATAAATCCTCTAACTATTGCATTTACTATTCTGTCATCTTGCATTTTAAAATAATATCCTATTGCTATTGCTAGTGCAAGCAAACTCCAAGGAATGAAAAGTGGACACATGTGCTACAAGACATATTTTATGTTCTTCATGTCCCCAACATCCGTAGAAACTTGATTTGAGGCTCCTTGCTCAATAAATTTGAGTAAATGGAGTATTTACTTGATAAACTCGTACTCAATAGAAATGGAGTATTTGTCGAATAGAGTTATTGCAATAATGGTCTATTTGTGATAAATGTACTTGAAATCATAAATGAAAATGTTTTTACATCGTTTGCTTGTATTGTTGATTTTTTTTATAGTTGGCATGATGGACATGCTAGTCTTTTATACTTGAACAAAATGAAGCAACAAGGTTGGTTTCTAATTTTTCAACAAATTACTTTGGCAAATGTGAAATTTGTGTAGAATCAATCACACTATGAATTTTTTTCATATTAATTACTTGAATTTTAGATATATCATAGTTAGGATATAAATTGAAAATTAATAAAAGTAACAATATGGTTAAAAATAAACTTAAATACTTGTACTAAATGTGTACCTATAGAAATTTTAAATTATAATAACAATTATTATTATTATTATTATTCCACTTCTGTCTTAAATAAAAATTATTTTTATTTTAACAATTATTTTTATTTAATATGATGATTATATAACGTTAGAAATGTTCCAAAATGTCTTTGACAAAGCTCTATACTTTTTTTTTATTTTTTTTGTGTTATATCATTTTTTAAATATTAATTATTCAATTATGACATCATGAATTTCTTTAAAAAGTTGGATCATTGACCTATCATTGATTAATCCATTTGACCCAAACCACTAACCCATGGCCCAAAAAGAAAAATAGTTTGATTCATAGGTTGACATTAAATTTTATATTCCGTTTCCATTATTGATAAGATTATATTGTATAATATTTATTTTTGTTCAGTAAATGTATAATATTATATATGTATCCAATATTTTTATTTTTTATAAATATATAATGTTATATCTTATGTATATATAACATTATATCTGATGTATAATATTTATTTTTGTGATTCTTTGTATTTTCTATTTTTAAAAATTTTATTATTTGACTATGATATCATTTCATTTTTAGGTTGATTTTAATTTTGGCTTTGCATTTTCATCACTTACAAAAATACTTCTTACAATTCATACTTATTTTTGTTCAGTATAATGAATATTCAATATTAATGACATGCCTAGTTCTTTTTATTTTTTTGTATTATATATTTTGTTTATTTTAATTTTTATTATTTAATTATGGCATTATTTATTAACGGATTTGACCCCAAATGGTTGAATTGCTTACCCACCACCAAGAGGGAAGAAAATGGTTTTGTTTTTAATTTATTTTTCAAAATATTTATTTTTATATTATTAAAATTAATGTTATGGATTTAATTAGTACGATTTAATGATGGGAAAAATATATCTTAAATATAGGATTTAATAAGATAATATACCTTAGATATGAGATTTAATGAGAGATAATAGGAAAATAGTTTTACTTCCAATTGGTTTTAATTTTTACATTTTATTTCCATCATTAATAAAAAACATTTCTTATTTATCATCAATCTTTTCAATTTATTGTTGACCTAGCCGATTGAACCGTCACTCGGCCTTCATTCTAGGTTTGGTTCTGTTGAAACTCCCCATTTTGGTTAAAAACCATCTAACTTGGGCGGTTCAACCATTGACTCGTTCGACCCAGTAACCAAGTCGTAGGTTGCACACTTATTATGTGCAAACTTTTGGAAGCCATAACTTTGCACTCCAATGTCCGATTGGGGTTATCTTTTTTTTTATTTTGAGTAACTTTTCAAGATCTATACGTCCCAAGGCCATTACACACATTGCCTTGCTATTTTCGCAAAAAAAAACCCTTTTTTGGCCATAAATTGTAATTTTTAGTATTTTTTATAAATAATAATTTAAAACATAAATAAATATAATATAATGCATATATTATATGTAATATATGTAAAACATAAATATGATATATGCAAAACATAATTATACTATTTATTGATAAAATATGTATTTTTACACACACATAGTGTTGAGGCAAAGCGGTTTGACTCATTTGACCTTGACAGTCAAACTGGTGACGTGTGACTCGAAGGAAAAAGCGGGTCGACCTCTAGGTCAATTTTTAAAATATTGTTTATCATACTTATTATTGTTTAATATGTCAAATATATGATGTTAAAAACGTTCTCATTTTTTTAATTTCTATATTTTTTGCATTTTATATATTTCTGAATTTTATTATTTAATTGTGGCAACATGGATTGGTCCATTTGACCCAAATGGTTTAATTTCTTACCACCACCTAGATGAAAACACTATTTTTTCCAAGTAGATTTTAAAAGTATAAGTTTTTATGTTATTGAAATTATTAATTTATTATGTATGTATTTAATTATAGAATTTAATAATGAGAAGAAACAAAGAAGCCTTAAATATATGATTCAATGAAGGTGAATGCAAATTAATACCTTAAATGTTGGATTTAATTTGAGATAATTGAATGCATTGAATATCTTAAAATTAACTCTTTTCAACTCATTTAATATCAATAACTAATCACCCTATTTGCCCTCATTTTTTATTAATCAATATAAATATAAAGGGGTAAATTTTGTCATCGCAAAATTCTAGAAATATTCTTGAGGCTATTCGTACTTTTTAAAGTAGTATAGATATAATCAAAACCCATTTGGATCCTAGTATTCACTTGGTTAAGAACAAAGGCAATGATATATCTTAATTCAAATATTCTAGAATTATCAAAAATTTAATTTATTTAAAAAATTGCACTCATCTTGACATTGTATATGTTATTGTTAGATTAAGTAGACACATTCATTATCATAGTACTGACCACTGACATTCTATTGTTAAATTACTAAAATATCTTAAAGGAAGGATTTAGTGATGTAAACTAGATTCTGATTTAGAATATAACTCTACCACTAGTTATGCTTCATTAATTGATGGGGATGTTGTGTTGGAATTCTTCCAAACAAACTTGCACAACCAAATCCACCATGGAATCCAAATTTATTTCCTTGGAAAGGGTTGGGACTAAAGCTAAATGGATGAGGAATATCTTAACTGATATACATTTATATGAAAAGTTAGTTTCCTCTATTTCACTACATTGTGATTACTAGGTTGCTATTGCTTGATCAAAGAATAAGACCTATAATGGTAAAAATAGACATATAAGACTTAGACATAATGTAGTGAAAAGATTAATTTATGATGGGATTATATCCTTTAATTTCATAAGGTTAGGAAAAAAAACTTGGTAGATCCTCTAACCAAAGCTCTTTTTGGGAAGCTTGTTTTTGAATCTTTTAGAGGTATAGGACTTAGGCCTATTTCAGATATCGTTAGTGATAGAAGCCTAACCTATGTGAATGGAGATCCCATAAGCTAGGTTCATATAGGAAAAACAAAACCAACAGATGACCTGTTGAGCACTATAAATTTTTATTATGTCCCTATCTCATGT